TATTTTGGACATACCCCACATCATTTAACTATTTGATGAGCTGCTTTGGTAAGATTGAATTGCTTTCTTAAACTTTTGCTATTTTGATGAAGAGCATGCGACTGTTGAGCCATTTCCACTTGAGATAATGCTCAGCCATTGAATTACCCTCAGCTAAAGGACCAGGAAGATTGGAGTGAGCTCTAATATGGCCCACAAAGCATGACAGCTTTCTTTTGCGAAATAGCGTCTTAAATTTGTTGAAACATTTTGACTTGATTGTTAAGTTCCAATATTTTCACCAAAACTGTTACTATTCAAAGGAGTCAAGAACATAGATGTTCTTTCATGACACGTATCCTTCATTAGCTTACTCTGAGAAAAAGCACTTTCAGGATTTAATATTTTCATTTCATTAGCTTTAACTCTTGATGTTATTAGCAGCAGTGATATTTAACATTGATTTCTTATAAGGAACTTTCAGGTGAAGCAACTCTTTTGTAAGACAGCTTTTCTGAAGTTTGTTTTCAGTCTATAAAGCATTCATTTCTTTTTTGAATGCCTGTTTCTTATCCCCTTCTAAGACAACATTCAGTGTATAAAGTGCTTTCTCATACTTTCTTAAGGATTTTAAAGTGGCTTGTTTGCTCTTAAAGGTAGCTTTTTGTCATCCAACTACCATAAAAAAATTTGCACAGCTATTAGGGTAAATAAGGCATTTTACCAACAGAGCCCCAAACTGCGAGGCACCTAGTTCCGTATCCTTTCAATTTTTCATTGGAACTGACACTTAAACTCTTAGACGATTTTCCTCCTCATTTTTTTAAAAGCTGTATTTTTAGTTTACCATGAATGTATTTTCAAGCTGACAAAATTGTTTCAGGGCAATGTAGCCATCTTTATCGGAAAAACTACCTTTCCCAGAATGCATTTCCCTTATATCAGTCCCTTATTGCAAACTAGCTTTTGGACTTCATTTCCCATAGGTCTTTTCGGGTCTGAGAGTCAACTTCTAAGTTCTTTTTTATCAGACTTGCTTACAAATTCTTGCCTGGGAGGTTTGAACCAAGTTTTTTGCTTTTTCAATGGGAGACTTGAACAGGCATTTTACATTTTCAACTATGGGACATTGGGAGGTTTCTGGTCTCTCCTCAGCTGACTTTAACAGGTGTCTCTCCTTCATTTGACACTGGCCCCTGAATCAGAACCACACCTGCCTCCTTAGCCGGCATTGAGGCTGGCATTTCTGATAGCAACTTTCCTTGGGGCTTGTGTCTGTTTTAGCCAGTCAGTGAAAAACAAGATCATTTACAACAGCTTTTCCTTAGCTCTTTCAGAGAGATTTTCTCCCACTGATCTATCTCATTTTGCTTGCCCCGCCCCCCTCCCCTCCCCCAGATGTAGAGCTTCAGGTCTGCAGCTCTGTACCTCTGCTAGCTGCCTTTGGAGGTAGGGGCTTTTTTTCTCCCCCCAAATCTGCCTTAAATTCTAGCAGCTTTTTCAGGACATATATTTTCTGGGGAGGATTATGTCCCTTCTCTGTTTCTTCAGAGTCTTTCTCCTGGACAGTTCCCAGTTTGGTCTCAATTTATCCCCTCTACCCCAGAAACATTTCCCAACACCACAGTGACAGCTTTTTTGCTTCTGAAGGTTGGGGCTTTAGTCCATTTTTGTTTTCGGGGTCTGTGTGGTTTGCGTACAGACTGAAAATCTAACAAGGGAGGATTTTGCCATTTCTAAACTCCCATTAGGACAGGTGCTTTGCCTCATCAGGCCTTCACCTGGCCCAGTCCCCCAGTGGATTGTGTTTGCTTGTCTGGGTGCTCAAGGACAGAGCTTATACAAGAGGCAATCACCCTTCAGGGTTACACTCCCTCGTCTCAGGGAGTCAGTTAAAACAAAGCTTTTCTCAAAGAGATGCTTCCTCTGACAGAAAAGAAAGCATTACTCCTGGATAGTTCTGTTTTGCCCTGGCTGGGCTCTTTCCACAGACAGCATTGTGACTCAGCAGCACAACTGCTTCAGACACAGTTCAGCTTTACTGTTTTCCCAGAAAGGTCCTTACTCTGATAGGAAAGCTTTTTCTCAGATTTCTTTTTGCAGCTGCGGACCTATCAACCTGGGACTTGTAGGAAAGTGGACAACTGTGCCATTCCCACCGGCTTTAGCTTTGTTTGTTCATTAGCCATCTTCCCCTGGGTCCTGCACCTTCCTGCCTCAGCTCTGTGCTCCAGGAAGTTTATAACTGCAGGAACCCTAGTATCCCCGAAATGCACTCCAACTCAGAGACGCTGGCCAGTGGCCTCTGGGTTTTTGGTCAGAAGCGAGGATACAATGCTTCAGGGGATCTTTGCATTAGGACGATTAGGAGCACCTTTTCATTCTGATACGCTCACTCAGAAACAAAACCCTTGATGCCTCAGCACGGCTGTAATTGATAAGCTTGGCTTTTTTTCTTTTCTCAGGTAAAGTTTCCTGACCTTTTGGGCTCTCTGTAGCTCTTTACCCACACTTTCCCAAGCGTTTCCCTCAGGGTACTCTGACCCACTGTCTTTTACTAGCTTGAAGAGACAGAGCTTAGAAGAGGTTTTTAGGAACTTGTCCCTGCCTCCTGCATTGCAGGGAGGATTTTCAAGGCTTGTAACAGAACTTAGAGAGGTTTTGCCATTTTAAGAGGTTTGTTGTTTTCCCTTAGAACTAATCACAGGTGGTCCCCATGCTAATATCTTCAGGTGATTCTTATTTTTGTCCTTTTGAGAGAGAGTTCTGAAAGGCTTTAGTTTTTAAGTTTAAGATAGCTTTTGAGAAAGATTAAGGCTTTTTAGAGAGTTTTTTTTCCCAAAATTTTCCAAGAAAAGCTTTTAGTTTAAGAGAAAGGTTTTTTTTTTTTTCCAAGAGAGATAGACCAACTTTTCCCAAAATGTTTAAACTTTAAACTTTTTGGCTTTTTACACTCCCATTTTTGCTTCAGGGAGAAACACTTCCTCCTGCTGCTTGGACTTAGCATTTCAGCTGTCCCCAGGACAAAAGCTTCCATACGAAACTTTTTCTTCCCCATAAGCTCAGAGAAGAGCTTTTTTACTACCCATAAAGCCCAAAGAAAGATTTTCCCCCCAGTTTGCATTCATAGCCCCCAAAGTTAGAAAACTGAAGAGTTTTTCTGTCTAGTTGCCTTACTTAATTTTTTCTACACGATCTTACACTTCTAAGTTTTTCCTACACTCTATTACTACCCTATACCTTATACTTATTTTTCACAGATAGAAATTGAGAAAGGGATAGAAGATAGAAAATTTTTTTTTTTTTTTTGGTTTTTCGAGATAGGGTTTCTCTGTGTAGCTTTGCACCTTTCCTGGAACTCACTTGGTAGCCCAGGCTGGCCTCGAACTCACAGAGATCCGCCTGGCTCTGCCTCCCGAGTGCTGGGATTAAAGGCGTGAGCAACCACCACCCAGCTAGAAGATAGAAAATTTTGACAGAAGAGAATTTTGCGCTGCAGCATCGGACATCCTTCCAGTCTGCTTTGCTTTTCTCTCGAGATTAAAAACCCTGCCCCTCAATAATATATATATAATTTCTTTTTTTTTCCATAACACCAGCATGCCTTTCCACTGGCAGAGCTGACTTGGCACTTTCGCCAAAAAACTGTAATAAAACTATTATTTTCCTTTTTCTATAGTCTCTATTTGTCTTTAGTGAAGGGTTCACAACACGCCCCCACGGTCGGGCTTGTTTGCATAAGCCCGGCGGACACTTCTGCCTAGCCAGGTCCAGGTCAGGATAGCCTTTTCCGGGTGAAGGCGTGTCTCGTGACCAGGATCAGTGACATTCCATGGCTACGTAGGCGCGCAGCGTGGCCATGTGATCTATGCGCTTGCATAAAGTAGTGACGTCGATCTGTGCACACCCAGCCTTTAAAATCCGGCACCATGTTCCCGGTTCTTCCTTCTTCTCCACACACGTGTTTCCCATAGGTCTGTGCACTCTCTGTCCCTATATCTCTAATAAAACTCTTATTAGCAGATTCTGTCGTGTTTTGTGACATTTCCTTGCAGGGTAAGGACACAGTGCCACCAATTAACATTTAGTCCTTGTTCGTTTGTCTTTAGTCCCTTTTTTTCTTTTGGTTCACCCCTTTTTTTCTTTAGTTCCTCCCCCCTTTTTTTTCTTTAGTCCCTGTTCAGGCATCATTTTGTGGGGTGTTTACCCACCAACCCCACAGCTCCCCAGAGTTTTCTTGAGTGTGAACAGCAGGAAATATTAGATAGAAGGATTTATTGCGGAGAATCTTGCGGAGATAAACAGTTAGAAAATAAAGGATAGCCTCGAGAGGGCCTGGAACCTTTTCCAACGGCCCCCCGACTGTCTCTGCCCCAGGGTATTTATGGACACGCCAAGGGGTGGAGCAAAAGACCTCCTCCCCCAGCACAGCCAAGTGCAGACCATCTCAGACACCTGCACTCAAGCCTGTGGTCCTAATCATCCTCTATGAGGACCTGCTGGGTAAAGCCACGAGGAACCCGAAAAACGGGCTCCCACAACAACTTCTTAGCTTCCTGCCAGATGGAATAAAATGAATCCTCTGCTAAAGCCCCAGGAGCCCACTGACAACCCTCCTCAAGTTTGTGGTTCAATGCTGCCCTGTTCTACTGGAGAGATAAAGAGACAGGGCTGTCCTTCACCCAGTCTGCTAGACTGATCAATAGAAACTGCCTCACTTAACACCCTTTCCAAACACAGCTTACAAGAACCCTCAAATATCCACAATGTCATGAACTCTGCTCTGATAACTGCTCACAGAAGGTCATTTAGGTTTGATATCTTCAGAGGAGAGCTGTGTCAACTCCGATCAGATCCTAGTCCTGTTTTGAGACCATCACACCAGGTCACCCCCTACCCATCTGTATGGTGTCAAGAAGGCTTAGCAGACAGCTGGTACTTGATCAAGTGGTAATAGGCACAATCCTCCAAGATGTTGTAGCAGGCTACATGGGAGAGGGCAATAATGAGGCATCACTAACCTTCCCAGGCCGAAGGCAACGATGAAGTCCTGCTCAGAACCCAAATTCCAATCTTGACCAGAAATCACATGAAGTTTCCCTGGAGATTCAGGGATTCGTGGAAATGGGATGGATGAAGGTGTAGCTGCAAAATTCACTCATGTAGTAATACCCTCCTCTTTCCTCTGATATGGTGGTGCCACAGGCGTCCAGCTACAACACAGTTTAAATAGACTGAGACAAACAATATGAACATGTGCAGAAGTCAACAGAAAATCACATACCATCCAAAAAACAGCAGAATCTACACTGAAGATACATATTAGCATTATCTGTCAAATGAACCATCATAAAAATGCTTCACTAAGCAATAAAAAACTCACTTTTAAAGAAAGTAAAACTTGGGGCAGGAGAGATGGCGCAGTAGTTAACAGTACTCAGTGTTCTTCCACAGGACTCAGGTTTGATTACCAGCACCCACTAAGAGCTCAAAACAGACTGTATCTCAGTTCCAAGAAATCTGACGTCCTCTTCTTGCCTCTGTGGGCACTGCATGCATGTGTTGAATATACATATATGCAGGCAAAACAGTCATACAGATAAAATAAAAATAAATAAATCTTTTTGTAGAAAGAAAAACTAAAAGTGCAAAGTCTTAGTAATTAATAGAATGTACAAAGAACCCAACTGAAATTTTAAACTTAAAAATCGCATAGATGAAGTGTAATGACCTCATTAGCAAGGGTGTCAGTAGCAGAAATGGATGAGCAGAGTAAAGAACCAGAGAAAAATATACTGTAAAAACCAGAAGCACTTTGAACAAACTTTGGCAGTATCTAAAAAATCAAATGTATACCTAATAAACCTAGAAATTCCACACTGAAGGATTCACCCTACAAAAACAGATTGTATGCTCACACACACCATAAAACACGGCAGAGCTTCAGAGACATATAAGACTATAGAGGGAAATCTAATGTCTCTCTCACAGGGTCTCCTTGGTCCTCTCTCAGTCTCTCTAGAAGCCATCTCGGGTTGGGTCTCCTGAACACACTACAAGGAGCAAGAACAGAGAAAAGAACAAACTTTGTCTAATGACACATTTCAGAAGTTTAGCAAGCCTGAAACAGATTACAGAACCTGAGCAAGCCTGAAACAGATTAAACCCAAATAAATCTACAGCAAAACTACACCAAATCTCTGAGAAGAAAGGAAAACAATCTTTGAAGCAGTAAAAGAGGAATGATCCTATATCTATATGCGTAAAACAATGGGGGGGGGCTTCTCATCAGAAAACATGGAGCCCAGAAGGAAGGTGGGGGAGAGAAGAACCTGAGGGTAGTGAGAAGAAATGTCTCACAAGTTGTCCACCCAGAAGGCAAAGCACCCCCATCTCTACTCCTCCATAAGAGTGACAGAACTTCTGCCATAGGTACTCACCCTGCTCTGATAGCCGACCCCCATCTTTGATGCACAGTCAAGTTGGAGGACTTGGCCAGCAGAGGGCACTATGGGGAAATGTCCTGCTCAAGACCATGGAAAAACACTAGCTAGTTAATCCAACAAGAGGGCCTTTCTCCTATAGCTTTCTGCAAACATCATTTGCACACATTCAAAGTCACCCTTCCTTATTATCTTGTATCCAGCACCACCGCTTCTCCTGTTTAGAGGCAGTGGGTGAGGGAACTATCTGATTAAATCCAGCCTTGCCCTGGACACAGTGGCAGCTCAGGCCATGCAGTAGATGCCTGGGCAAACCCGTACCATGCCTTCTGACTTTGCATCATCAGCAGCAGCTATTCTGGCATGTTCTGGATGCAGCAGGAGGTGAATCGAGTAGAAGTATCTTGGCTACACACCCTCATGGGGCTGTAGCTTATTGTCTCCGTGGCTCTCCTGTCATGCTCAGGGTGCATCAGAGCTACACAAAGTTCTGTCAGAGGCTGACTAGCCAAATGAGCTCAGCATCAAAATCTCATCAGGAAAACAAGTGACTGTTCACCTGTACCCAACGATCACTGTGAAACCCAAGGACAGACTTCAGTCTGGGCCACACTTCTGCAGGAATTGAAGCCCATCCTATTTTCTGGCCCCCTCTGCCACCACCTTGCTTCGCACATGCGTCTGTTCCATCCTTGGTCCTCTCTCAGTCTCTCTAGAAGCCATCTCGGGTTGGGCCTTGTGTTTGGGTGGGAGCTCCATCTCAACGTCTGGCACCCTGGCATCCCTATACCCAAAGAGTCTGGAATGTTCTGGTGGAAGATCCACCTCAACTCCCCCCCCATCTCTTTCCCTAAACCTGCCCCTTGAAAGCCAGCCAAACATGGCTCCTCCCCCAGAGAGACTCAAGACCACTCATACAGGGTATATAAGCTGCATCCCAGAAACCAGATATGTGGTTCTTCAGGTCTCTTGTCCCAGTCTGCTCTCTGTGGGCCCAGGGAATCACCCGGGAATGCTTTACCCATTAAACCAGGCCTTTTCCTAATTTCGTCTGATTTGGATTACTGCATCTGCGGAGAGTCCTATCAGGGTGCAACAAAACTTATCACCTTGCTGAAGCCCCACCTAACAAAATCCTCTGGACCTCACGGGCCAGCTGGAGTGACTTCTCTTCTGTGAGGCCTTGGGAGCTCTCTGCCCATGGTTCAGGTTCTTCACATTTCTAACTCCTGCTTCCTCTGCTCAAATTTGCATTATTGAAAGATCAGGAGGACAACACACCCAGCAGCTCTGTGAACAATGTAGGGGTGAGGTTGCACCTGCAGGCAGTGCCTGACAGGGCAGTGCCTACTGATCTCACTCTGTGGTATGTCTTGATGCTGAAATACATGCTCTCTTCTAGCAGGCTGTGCATACCCCCATGCTAATGGATCTCCAGATGTCCTGTAAGTATTTGCCATGGAAGTAGTTACCATCCAGACAGTTGACTAAAGTACAATCGGAGGTGGAAGCATCTCCTAGGAAGTGAGATCTGAGGCAAAGGACACCCATGGCATAAAAGGTGAATCTGCTATATGAAGACTGCTGCTACATCCTTGTTCTTCTCAGCTGACACTCTCCACTTTCCAAAGCACCTAATTCATTCATTCAGTCAGTAAGTCATTTATTATGTCTGTCATTATGGCCCCTATGGGCTACTGTGTTTCAGGTGCTAAAAGGATGTGCATGACCATCCAGGCTCAACACTGTATGAGCATCTGCCTGATTGACTGTACAAGACGGTCGTGTTGGGCCCCACTCTTCAATTCTGCTCCTTTCTGTCATATCTGTGGGAGGTAGATCTAAATAAAAAACATAGCTCTACTAACTCTCTTGTCCTGGGCTTCCTGGATGACCCAAGGTGACACACCTGCTTCCAGAGGCCTCTAGGCAAGAAAGGGGTCAATTAAAGAGTGATGCAGCATTACTATTGACTACACAGGAAGCAATGAGGATTAAGTGGCATGCAGTCAGCCATAGACATAACATGGCTGCCTGGTTGCTACACCTCTCACGTTAGAAATTTGCTAGAATGGCTGTCTTGTGGAGAGGCAGAACATTTGCAGTTGAGGACATCCAGATATCTGGGACATTTGGGAATGCCATCTCCAATGACACTGGAGAAAGGTGCTAGTGTCTATGCTGCTATGGTGACCCACAACGGGTTGACTCAGAGACTCTGAGTGGAATCACCTGCATCTCATTGGGCCTACAGCATGGTCCCCATCTCAGGGATGGGCAAGCAGCAGAAGCTGAAATAAAACGAGCTGCTATAAGGCAAATGAAGGACAAAAGCAGCTCAAGGAGCAAAATAGATCTCTAGTGTCAATTTTGAAGCCCTGTGAGGAGGCTTGTTTCCTCGATGGAGACGGTCTGTGAGTATTGCACTCCCTAGATACCTCTGAAACTTCTGAACCTGTATAAGTGGTCTTCCTTTTACAGGAAGAGTCAGTGCTACCCCATCCCTGCTCCTGAAGGAGAAAAGCTTGCCTAAGTCTTATCCACACAGGGGCCTTCACTCCCAGCACTTGCCCTCCCTACCCTGTTTCTGATATTGTAGTCAACACTGCATATTGGCCACAGAACTCACAATGCTAAAGCTAGGTGAGTGGCCAGAAAGGGGGGAAGAGTTCATGAAGCTGCTGCCAAGCCATACCCAGAGTGAAGTCCCAGCTCAGCAAGAGCCAAGCAGGCTCAGCTGGACCTGATAGACAGGAGAGAAGAGCCAGCCAAGGGAGAAGCTGGTACAGCATGCTCCAACATCTGTAGAGAGGGAGCTGTTCCTGTGCCAGAGGTTTGAAGAGGGCCTGTGGGGATTCAGATTGTACAGGGACTGCAAGAGCCTCCTGGGAAACAGGAGTTCATGCTCTGGCAAGGCTCATGGGGTAAGATGCAAAGTTGCTGATAGATGGGGACTGGGATAATGGAGGCAACAATGGTTCATCATTAGCATTCTTGAAAATAGGCATGGCCTTGGCAGACAAAAATGGAGGGAGAGCATCAAGGCTATGGGGTATTGCTGTCTAGAAATGGTTACATTAGTTGAGGCCAGAAAAGTGCTAGTGGGTAAGTAAGATTCTTTGACAGTGAAATCAGAGCATCAGGATTAAACAGTAGAAACGTCACTATCATCACTTAGAAGCTTGCCATCACCACTCTGCAGGCCTCGGTAATGACAGGATATCTGGTTTCACTGTGCACAAGAACAGTTTGTGATGTTTTCTTTTCTTCCTCTTCTACTTCTTCCTATTCCTCTTACCCATCTCCTACTTCTTTTTCATCTTCCTCTGCCTCCTTCTCTTCTTCCTCCTGCTCTTCCTCTGACTTCTGCTCTTCATCCTTCTGCATATCCTCATCTTCATCTGCAGTACCCACAATAACTGAGCTGCTAGTAGCTGCTGGTTAAGACTAATCACAGTTGAGAAAAGAAACTCTATACCACAATCTTCCTTAGGTATATAAGTGACATATGTTCAACATATGTTAAGCTGAGAGAGGGCACTCAGAGGAGTAAGTATTCAGGCAAAGGGGACTGAGTGTGCCACCCACAACAAACCAGTGAGTATTCCTGCTCAGATTATGCTCTGTGACCAAGATTTATGAAGCCTTTGACTAAAAGGGTAGTATTGAGGTCCCCAGGGAGTAGGAAGCTGGAGCACCAAAGCAATGAGACATGCAAATGGCCTAACTGCATATTCCTAAGGGACCTACAGCTGTATACTGGGTCACTGAAAATCAAGGAAACCATAATAACTAGCAAGGCTGTTGTAAAGAGTGTCCTATGGGAGGTTTATACTTTGTAAATCAATGAACTGTCTGTAAGTCGTTCTCAGGAAGAACTTCCTGTAGTTAACATTTCTGAAAAAAAAGAATGTTATCAAATTCAAAGACATGTACTATTCTCAGGAAATTGGTGTGTAGCTCTTGAATGAGGAGACTGTGAACCAATTACTCCATATTAGGCTTAGGCTGCAGATCTGGTGAGAAGTCAAGTTACTTTTGAAAAAAAAAACTTTTCAGAATACAAACTAATGCTCATTGTAATGGAAAATACAAATCAAAATACGAGATAGCATAAACTCAGTGGAATAAAAATGCACAAAAAATGAAAAAGGGCAGATGATACCCAAAGTATAAAAATCTTTACATCCATGAAATGGCTTCTTCTATAAGTTTCCAGGGCAAACCTGCAGGTTTACAATAGGCTGGATGAGCCTTCTGCAGCAAGCTCAATGGACTGCTTCATCAGAAATCATGATGATGAGCTGACAACTTGTCCTATATATCCTGCCAACCCCAACCAACCCTGAGTCATGGAAACAAAAAAGCAGGAACACATGGTCACTAGACCATGTCATGTTATTTGAAGGCCTAGCTCTGGCAGTCTACAGAGGTTGTGGTTTTTTAAATAATGATAGACGCATCAGAAGAATAAAGATGGAAATGTAGGCTGACCAAAGAGCCTTGAAACTGCAATCAACAGTTTTGCCCACTAAAACTGACCAGTTTGGAGGCAGGTCACAGATATTTGAAAAGTCCAAATTATGCTTCCTCAGTTTGTATCCTGGGCACCACAAACTACCAAATGGAGTGCAAGTAGCACACCATGTCTGCAAGAATACTGGAATGCCACTTCCTCCCATTCACAAGTAATGTGTCATGAAGACAAAAGCAGCCATAAGGCTACTACTTGGAGTAGTAGCACTTGATCTGAGCAACCTAGGAAAAAATCTTATAAACAAGTCTGGAAGGAAGGGTGAAGGAAAAAAAAGCAAGAATGCAGGACCAGAAAGATGATGTAATGGATAAAGGCCCTTGCTGCCAAGCCTGATGACTTGAGTTCAATCCCCAGAGCCTGCATGATAGAAGAAAACAGACTCTTCTAAGATGTCTTCTGACATGGGTTCTGTGGCCCACATTTGCACCTGTATATGCACAATAAATAAATTAATGTAAAAATGCAAAGGAAAGGGAGCCATGTATAACAGGGGTGGGGGCGGTTGGTAATTGTCTATGGAATTACTGAGTTAATTCTCTGGCATGAACAAAGAATTGAACAACAGGGAAAGACTGTAGATATAGTCACAGAGAAAGGGAAAGGAACAGGCTTATCCCTTTAGGATGGGTAAAGCCTAAGGATGGAAGTCTGTTAAACAGATACTGGCTTGGGTATATATTGACTCCCTGTATCCTACCTTTCCCCCACACTGGCCCTGCAAAGATATATGCCCCTGTGCATTCCGGCTGTATCTCAGAATCTTCTGGGAACAAGAAGCCATCATCTCAGGGAGCTGGCCTTGACTTCCCCTGTCTGCTTACACTCCTTTAAGCTCCCCTCAACACAGAGCATTACAGAAATTCACAACTGGTCAAAATTCAGAGAGCAACTTACTGTGGAGTGGCCAACCCTAACAAACACATCTAAAACACAAACCTACAACTGAGGCTCAGTTACCATCATGGAAGAGGGGATAAAAAGATTGTAAGAGCCAGAGAAGCAGGATATCTACTACAAGATAGTGTTTTCTGTATATAATGTGTGATCTACACCTGTGAATTCTCACTAGCACAGTCATCTAAATAAGATCAGCACAATGACAACACGGGGACATTTCATATGGCCCCGTACTTAGATGAAGAACTACAGGCAATCAATTGCTGCTGAAAAAGGCAGATTCAGTCTTCTCCAGGGATGAGCCCTGATAGGCTCTCCAGTCCCAAGTGGTCAGCCCTAAACCCAAATATATATGAGAAACATTAAATGGACTCAGAAGGTTGTATTTAAATGTGTATATATATATATATATATATAAAATTCTAAATATAAATATATACTTACTTATATATTTATATCCATTATATAATTATTTATATTTACATATATGTATGTATATATATATATATATATATATATATATATATATATATATATAATTAAAGAGGGGTCACCTTCTACCACAGCTAAGGCACCACAGATGTGTAGATGATTGTGGTAATATTGTGTTCCCCAATATATTGTGCACCCTAATAAACTTATCTGGGGTCAGAGAACAGAACAGCCACTAGATATAGAGGCCAGAAAGTGGTGGCACACACACCTTTAATCCTAGCATTTTGGAGGCAGAGATCTGTCTGTATCTCTGTGAGTTCAAAGCCATACTGGAAACAGCCAGGCATGGTGACACATGCCTTTAATCCCAGGAAGTGATGGCAGGAAGCAGAAAGGTATGTAAGGTGTGAGGACCAGGAACTAGAGCCTGGTTAAGCTTTTAGACTTTTAGCAGCAGTACAGCTGAGATCCGTTTGGGTGAGGACTCAGAGGCTTCCAGTTTGAGGAAATGAGATCTGAGGAATTGGCGAGGTGAGGTTAGCTGTGGCTGGTTCTGTTTCTCTGATCTTTCAGCGTTCACCCCAATACCTGGCTCCGGGTTTGTTTTTATTTAATAAGACCTTTTAAGATTCTTGCTACAGATGATTTTCAAATGCACACTAGGACATATCAGTTTGACTTATTTTGGTTGTGTCTAGCTAAACAGATAGAAACTTTCCTCAAAACAGATCCTATGAAAACCAGATTACAAAGACCTGAACAAGGACAATACCGATAGACATGCTAACATGGAAGGGGAAAATTTCACCAGAGCCCTACCCCTAGACAAGGAACTATAGGCAACTAAGGAATGCTGAGAATTTGAGAGTTACCATTCACCAGGAATGAGCCTCCAATTGGTTATCCAATACCAAGTCAGTCAGCCTTAAAAACATATACATGCAAGCAGCACTAAGTGGAATTGTATGGTTGTATTTGCATATTTATGCACATTTATGTAACTATAAGTGCATAATAACAATCAAAGAAAGGGGTCACAAATTTGAGAGCAAACAAGGGGTATACATAGAAGGGAGTTGGAGGAAGTAAAGGCAATGGGGAAATGATGTAATTTCATAAAAATAAAAGTTATTGTCATGGACTATGAAAATGGTTTTTAGAGGAAAGAAATAGAGTGACTGGCAATTCTGTTTTGATCTGAAGAACAAAGTGATTTGGTGGCAAGCCAGGGTGTTCATGGAAATTCAAAGTACCACTGATGATGTGGCCATTTAATCAAACAACAGTGCTTAGAATAATCCTACCATTGAGTAACCAGAGGAATGTGCCCATCTCATCCTACTTGGGCACAGAGTATTGCTTAGGGGAGAAACAGATCAGATTATGTGGAGATGCATTCCTTATTAAGACCTATATAAAGAGACACAATCCACCAGAGGAACAGTTGGAAGAAACCAAAGCAAGACTGAGGTAGGGGTGGCTACTCTGCCTAAGAGGTTCTATCATCTACAAATTATATACATATATATATATATATATATATATATATATATATAGAGAGAGAGAGAGAGAGAGAGAGAGAGAGAGAGAGAGAGAACTCATGCATGCTAATACCCAAAGTTGTACTAACTAAGGGCTGATCCTTGAGCTAAACAGAGAGAGTAGTAACAACCATCCCCCATCCTGAGGATTGAGAGAAGCAAAGGTTTCTGTGCTTCTCAACTCATACAGGAACCATGACAAAATATGTATCATCAGACAGGACACTTTTTCTGAGAATTTGCAGCATGTCTTAGCATAGGAAAGAGAAGACCTGAGGCTTTTCCACCTATCTATACACTTACCACATATACTTGGCCTGGGTTCCCTCTCCAGACTGACTGTGAGATATCTTAGTGACATCACATGACAAACAAAGAGAATGATGACTTCAACAGTTGTCTTCTGAGAATCTAGAACTTTATATTCACTATTTATTGGGTGTTCCTACTGGAAGTAAAGACACTGACTTGCTAGGACAGGGACTTGTGGTCTGCTGTTCAGAACACTCCTGATGCTAGTGTAGCATCATGGCTAGTCAGAATGTAGAACAGGATTGTGAAACCAATGTGAGCCCAGGTGTTAATCAAGAGCCTGTAAGCAAGGACATCCCTAATTCTTCACCTGATTCAGAAGCAGATTCAAGAGAAGGTCTTGTGAGGCAAGATGATCAAGATGTGATACAAGATCCAGCCTTTGAAGAGAGACCCCCACCTGAAGACCAAAGCCAACATACAGCCAGTGAGGAAGATAACACCAACATCCTCAGTTTGCCCTTCCCCAGGAAGCTCTGGACCATTGTGCAGAATGAGGCATTCAAGTCTGTGAAGTGGACTGAGGAAGGAGACACCATAATGATTGAGGTAGACCTTTTCCAGAGAGAGGTCCTTCACCTCAAGGGGGCAAAGAAGATTTTTGAAACAGACAGCTTGAAGAGTTTTATTCGCCAGCTCAACATGTATGGGTTCAGGAAGATATGCCACGAGACCTCTGTGGTTTCCTCTGGAGAGAACAGGAGAATAATGGTAACATGCAAAGTACTTTTGTCCCATTTTTAATAACAGAAGCATATTCATATCTCCCCAGCCCATATCACAAATGATGTCAGTTCTTTACTTCCAAAGATAACTCTGTTTAGCAAGAGATGTTATTCACTAAAGGGTCAAAATGTAGACTTTGAATATAATGGCTTTGTTCTTAAATTACATAGGGCCCACCCAAAAGTATTCAGACAAGAAGAATGGCTATGAGATGCTAGATAATGGTGCATGCACGTGCACCAGTGTGTGTGTGTGTGTGTTTGTGTGTGTGTGTGTGTGTGTGTGTGTGTGCGCGCACACACATTACAATCTTAATTTACAAACTGTTTATCTTAATGACATCATGCCACAAGGCATAAGGATCCTTGCCAACTCAAGTTATTTTTCATCACAAACTAAGACACTGTGACTGGTGGTAGAAAGGATTGTGGGGATCAACATATGTTTCATCTCAGAATAGCTAAAATGTTCATTTTGTTTCAGATGTACCGCAACTTCAACTTTCAGAGAGATAAGCCCGGACTCCTTAAGTATATCTGGGGAAAAGAAGACCTAGTAAATCTTACCCACCAGGCTATCTGTGTACCTATTGTGCCTAGATCTGCTCAAGAGCCAATTTCCAAAAAAAAGAAGTTACCAACCAGATGTTCTCCACGATTCTATCATAAACCTGAGGAAGACAGTGAAGAGTCCAAGAAGAAAAGCTCTGATGACCAGGCACCCAAAGGAAATCAGGGCTTTGTATTCTCTACTGTATGGGCTATGAAAACTATTCCTGGATGTTCCCTAGAAAGGCAGTCTCCTGGGGAGTCAAGTAACCCAACTGCAGAAGACACCTCAGGCAATATTATATGTATGCCTCCAACTACTCCTCAAATTCAGGGCATGGAAGAAGTGCCCAGTGCTAGCTCATCATACCCCATTTTGGGTTCTATGATGTCTCTGTATAACAACTGTTGTTCTGTCCTATTGTCTGCCCTCTTAGAAAGGCCTACAAATGAATCCCCTGATGAAGAAGAGCAGGAAGGCTCCTCAGATTACAAGTGTGTAATCTGTGAGCCCATAAAGAATAGCCCTCGCTTATGAACTCACAGACCACTGAGACCAATAGAAAATTTTTTTTCCTAAGAATAAATCTATTTTTGGTATCAAAAAGATAAATCCCATAACGGCAAATAAATAATCTAAACTAGACTCCAGAGTCTATGTCCTATCTGACCCTCTGTACCATTCCGTATCCTTAGTTTTCCCAACCTTGGATTCACTTTGCCCTTTCATGAGAAGCAGCAATATTTTCACACCCTCAGCAAAGCATTCTGCCTGGTAGGGCAGAGAGCAAGCCTGGGAAGATCTGCTCCTCTGACACTTGCCTACTGGCTAGTGACCTGGTGGTGTCACCTTACACTACTCAGGTGCTGCTCCACACATGGCTCATCCCCTCCCTGCCCTTAGACGGTGAGCTCAGTGAGGTCCTAGTTACAGTCCTGTGTGCCCTGAAACCCCACCAATATGGATGAGCTGCTGCTTCTGCCTTTGCAGGTCAATGAGTTTTTGCTTAATGGCAGGCCCAGTGCAAGAACTGGGGTTTGGCTGACTTGTACCTGAGTCTGCAATTCAGGGAGACTCACTGGATAGGACGGTGGCATCTAGAGAAAGACACCCACAAGAGTGTGCTGACAGAGATGGCTGATGACGTCTAGAGAAAGGATACAAGATAGTGCTGACATAGATGGCCAAGCCAAAGGAAACACAAAGGAGGAAGGGTCACCTTAGCCTTGTCAAGGTATTGCAGCTCTGTAGGCTTGCATTAGAATAGAGATAGTCTTAGATCCCCTGATTGCCCTGCCTGTTGAAGTCACTGCTGCCAACACTAACCCTAATTTCAGCTGAGAAGCAGTTACAGAAAAGACTACATTGCTCCTTTTGATTAATAAAAGGCTGGGATGTTAGGCACAAAGGAAACTAGTTCCCATCTACCAAGTGGAGTCACTTCCATTCTCTCTGGCAAAATGGACAAATGATGCACAACAAAGCTCATGCTGGCCTGCAGGGCTACTTCAGTATTATAAATACCTATTTGCTGGGGAATATTATTTTAAGGTGTGTTACTTTTGTTTATGTTGCATTTGTTTAACTCTGTGAAGCTGTGTTACTGTGCCTGTCTAAAACACCTGACTGGTCTAATAAAGACCTGAATGGCCAATAGTGAAGCAGGAGAGAAGGTAGGTGGGGCTGGCAGGCAGAGAGAATAAATAGAGGGAGAAATCTGGGAGGAGAGATCTAGCAGCCAGAGAAGGAGGAGGATGTCAGGGGTTAGCTACCCAGCTACACAGCAAGCTATGGAGTAAGGGTAAGATTTACAGAATGAAGAGAATGGGAAAAGCCCAAAGGCAAAAGGTAGATGGGATAATTTAAGTTAAGAAAAGTTTGCAAGAAACAAGCCAAGTTAAGGCTGGACATTCATAATTAAGAATAAGCCTTTGTGTGATTTATTTGGGAGCTGGGTAGCAGGCCACCCAAAAGAGTAGAAAACCCCCAACAACACCGGTTAAGATCAAAGAGTTATGAAAACTTCCAAGAAGGGTTATTCACAATGGGGACTGGGATCTGATTGAATGGCTTACTTCATGGTAACCAAATTTTATCTGGGTAAAGCAAATGTTTAATTTCCCTGTCTCACTGCTTTATGCATCCTATTTTTATGCATCATTTGTAAATGTCACTGTCAAACATTGTAGATACCAGGGACCCTACAACTGAATTCCCCAAATCTATTTCCTAGAGCCAGTGGGGAATGGAGTGGACTAAAATCCTGTCCTTCTGTCACTTCTGGATGTTAATAGGCCATTGTATCATAAACTGGCTACTTTCATGTATAAAAAAGGGCAACACAATTAACATATCATCTTTAAGCCCTACATAAATGTGAATCAATGAATTGATTTGTATGATCTTGTGGTGACATAAAATATGCCTGAAGATCAGAGAACAGAACAAGCCACTAGATTAAACATAGAGGCCAGGCAGTGGTGGCACACACCTTTCATTCTAGCACTTGGGAGGCAGAGGTCAGTCTAGATCTCTGTGAGTTCAAAGCCACCCTGGACTAAATGAGATTAACTCAGACTAGTAGAGAAAACAGAGCCAGGCAGTGGTGGCACACACCTTTAATCCCAGGAAGTGATGGCTGGGCAGAGAAAGATATATAAGACGTGAGAAGACAGGAACTAAAGGCTTTTTGGCAGAAGCATCCCTTTCAGCTAGAAGCCCTTTTGGTGGAGCTCTTTCAGGCTAAGAAGTTGGTGAGGTAAGAGGTGGTGGTTGTGGCTTGCTCTGCTTCTTTGATCTTTCAGCTTTCAGCCCAATATCAGGCTCCAGGTTTTTTATTAGTAAGACCATTTAGCAATTTGTGTTACTAATCTAGTCCCGTGGAGAATGTGATGGCTAAAGAAACTCAGTTTTATGCCAGGTGTCCATCTTGGTACCACTAGCCATTTTGTTCTCACTACAGTTTTGAAGATGGGTTCCCAGTAATCCTAACTCAGTGATACCAACTAAGAAATGTACAGCCATGACTGTTTAACTGATATGATATGACTAACTGCGTTCTGGCTACAATTGGCTCTCCAGAAGAGCTAGGAAGGCAGGTCTCATGAGGAACAGAAATGAGTGCTGCACTTAGGGCTTGATCTGCTAATCAGAGCAGTGGGACGTTCCTCCCTTCTGGTTCAAGGACCACAGGGAGCAGTATGCATCTAGGCAGATAATCAGTTTCCTTAAGTGGCATAGTTATTAGAACAAGCATGTAGGATACAACAGAAAAAGAATGATATTTTCTTTGCATAACTATCTCCCTAGATACAGTTTCATATACAGGTCTGAGGAAACTGAACCTTCCTTTTGGGGCTCCCTTCCCCTCACCTCCCAAGCAAAATTTTCAGAGTGCAGTCTGTCAGGTCCTCAATGCTCAGTGAGAAGAATCCATGTTTTGCTTCCTGTCATCATTTTGGTGACAATGCTGCTCTTGGATTCCAACAAGTGAATCATGGTGGCCCTGTTGCCACACAAGCAGCCTTGGTATATGGAATATACCAATAGAAACTACTATAGGCCACTGTCTTGGTATACCTGGCTTGTTGTCCATTGAAAAGTCTTTGAAGTGTCCAGAACTCTTAGCTGCCAATGATGTAGTAGACCTGGAAACTCAGGCTGTGCTAACCAACCTGCAACTGAGGCACCAGAACCCGGTTTCAGACCCCAAAGCACTAGAAGCCCATACCTAGGGCAGGGGAGAGGGGTATATTCCAAATGGACTTCTCCTCCCTTTGGGGAGGAGAGTGTGAATACTGTGGGCTCCATGGCAAGGGTGTAATGGTGCTGAGAAGGCAGCTAAATAACAACCCTGTCAACTCACCAACTCACCATCACAGTGCAGATTCTAAAGCCAAAGCAACAGTGAGCCACCATTGGCTTGCTGAGCATGGCCCACTGCGGGCTGTTCCCAGACCCACCCAGACTGCTATGCTCTCATGAAGGGGATATCAGTGAGAGATTTCTTCCAGCTGTGCTTCTGTGGCCTTGCTGACACAGCCTCAAGTACCTTGGCCTTTAGGGGAAAGGAAAGCTGCCAGAAATGACTCTTGTGCTAAAGCTTACTTTGGTTGCCCACTATTGTCTGAATTGCACAGATAATAGTGTTTAGTGTCTGGGGCCCCATATGTGCTTATCTATGATGTTGTTTCTGTCAAAACCCAGGCAGTGCATGAACAGTATCCAAGGGACCAGTTGGCAAGCCTGGGGCCAGGCACTGAGTTGACACCAATGCCCTGGCAAATCTGTGATGAAGAGAAGAATTGATGGAGAAGCCCAAGAATGTCGGGTCCTTCCACAATGCAAGAACAATGTGAAGAGCTTCCCCCAGACAAGGAAGGGTGGGTCTCACCCAGCCATTTCTCATCTTAAAAGTCCTAAATATAGCTCTGATTTCTTGAGGTTGATTAAGGAGGGTTAGGTGGTGGACATTTTGTAGCAACATTTTGCAGGTTCTTTTGTGAAGTTTCTACTGTCTGTCTTCCTTGTATGTCAAGCAGTTTCCCCACCCTCAAGTGTTGAGAGGAGTGGTCTGTATCTCAGGGGCTAGGGTATAGAAGTTGTTCATCCCACCAGATGAAAGTAAGACCACTACCATAATTTTGAGCCAGATTTGAAGCAAGCTTTAACCAAACACGGGCCAAGATGATGGACTCTAGCCAGGTCCATTCCAGGGTTCCCAGAAAATGACAACAAGAGACATTTTGCAGAGGCTTCGAAAGGAGAACACATAGGCTACGGACCTCACAACTTTTCCAATCTGTGTCAATCATACCTCCTGACTTACTTCCTGACTACATACCTTTCACCTACCTATGACCAAGTATATCTGGTGCAGTTGGATCAAGCAAACTTGTTTAGAGAATTGGAAATATGTGGCTTGTTATCTTATATTAACAACCTCCAGCATCTCAGAAAGTACCTGTCCTTGGACAAAGAGCTTATGAGTTAGAGGCTTTTTGTTTATTTGTTTTATGGGTCTCTTAGGCAGAGTAATTAAAACCTGTAGCTTTGACTCTCACAGTAGTGTTCATCCCTTAGCAGATAAGCAGCTAGTTTGAAGATGTGCTTATACAAGGCTAATGAATGCTTGGCAGTGACTGTTGGCTCTTGCTCAGAAACTTCCTGGTGACCTCCGAAGGGGGTGCAGACCCAGGGGAATGGAATCTCCTGCTTCCAGATACCTGAGTAGTGTGAGGTGACACTACCAGGTCAGTAGCCACCCCCTTCTGCACACAGTTTGCTGAGGGCATAAAAATGCTGCTGCTGTCCAAAAAGGGCAAGGCTGACCTAAGGGTGTGGAAGTCAAGGCCCTGGGAACAGTACCTAGGGTTAGACAGCATAGAACACAGACTCCGGGATCAAGTTTAAGATGTTTATTTACCACCACAAAATCTATTTTTATTTGATAAAATTAGCTCATTTCCAGAAAAACAGTGATTTTTTTCTCAGTCTTTTGGTGAGTCCCCCACTTTTCAGCCAGTGTAAACAGTCTC